CAGCTGAAATGTGCATTTAGCAGTCGTGATGTACCTGAAGGTCTTGTTGACTTGAGTGCCTTAATATAACAACTTTGATGGGTAGGTACTGGTTCTGAGGGAAGGTCTGTACGTCATCAAGTGGCCAGTGCTCAGCCAGCAACCAAAGAAGCAAGTGCAAATAAACCATCTGTCAGGATGGACCAAGCGCCAAATAAAGGGAGTAAAGGCAGTACGGACGTGAAAGGAATTCTTCCAGGGAATTTTTTTGATTATACAGAAGAAGATGAAGATGAAGTTCCAACTCCTGCTCCAGCTCCAAAGGAGCCCACTAGGACTTCAGGAAATACCACCAACCCCAATACCGTGCAGGTGAAAGGTGTCCCAGATGGCTTCTTCGATAGCAGTAACACACAGCCCAGCGAAACCAGTGCATCGTCTCAAGCGGCGAATAATCTGGAAACTGCTCAAGTAAAAGCTCTGCCTGAAGGATTCTTCGATAACAAAGATGCGGATCTCCGTGCACGTGGTATTCAACCTCCAAAAGTTGACATCAAGTAAGGTTTCTTCACTAAAATCTTGCAAGTGTATTGCCTCTCCATAAAGAATTGCTATTCTTGCAGTCCTGTTGTTTCCACAAAAAATAATCTGACTTAATGAAGTTCTGTTAGGATTTAAGGTATGGTTCTAGTCCAAGCTAGCCCTACCAAATATCTGGCTAGCCAAAATTTTGGTTGAGCTTTTGGTTGCCAATGAGACGGCCGACATTGGCAAGATAAATGAACTAGATTAGACAAAGGGACATTGACATGCCAAAACAATGGTAACCAACCAAACCAAAACCAAATTTTTGGTCAGGACTAAAAAATTGGTAGCATGAGTATTGGTCACCATCCAAACATACCCTTACAGGCTTTTGTTTGGATGTGTAAGGAGCCTTTTATGGCCTTAGCTAGCTTCACTCTACTGTTACAGTATAATGAGGATAATTTCCTAAATAAGCCATGCTACTTCTACAACCATGTTGCATTTTTGCACAAGTGCTGTCAAGTTACAAAACTGCAGAGTCTGGAAGGGTCAATAATCATTGTTTTCTGCTCTTGTGTTTGCTGTTGGAAAGCTTCTGTACCATAAACTCTTCTGTTCTTAAATGGATGGATGGGTAGCACTCCTGCCTTTTTGCTAAAAACTATGCTTTTATGCTTAATAGTTTTTTGCGTTGTCTTGTCTGTGCAATTCTGCATTCCCTCTGTTGTTTCCATGCATTTTTTCCTCTATGTTTGTAATAAAAATTGCTTCTTTGGATCTTTACGTAAGATCTGTATTCAGTTCGACTTAAGTTTTTCTGTGACTGATATTCTCATCTGAAACATGTTAAACTCCCGCACAGCGACGCATACAAAGAATTTGAAAAGGAAATTCAGGAAGACCTCCAGGAAGTTGATGACCGCCTCGAAGAAGAGGAGGTTAGGCTAACCTCTCTACATTATTACCATGCACATATTGTTTTGCACTGCTGATATTAGCAGATTTTGTGCGTGTGCCTTGTAGATTGATGCTGCTGCCGAGAGGGAAGAGTACTTGACCTTGGAGCAAGAGTATGTTCCTTTCTACATCTCGTTCTGTTCATGTATCCATCATTCATTTATTTTTGGCTTATTGGCCTATAGGCTTTCTGCAAAGTGAAGATTTTATTTTATTTTCTGTTGTCAACTCATCATTCATTTATTTATCTGTACACAGGGAGTACAGGCAGCGAGTAGATATGCTGAAGAAACAGCTCACCGAGTCCAAAGCCGCACGGACTGCTAAAGCGAACAGCAAACCCATCGGCATGGACACAGATTCCAGCGCCAGCGACTCATCGAGCGACGACGAAGACGAAGGCACAGATTTTGCTGTTGACTGGAGAGCACAGCATATGAAATGATGTAGATAGAGATTGCTCGCTACCGTGAACAAGGACTCGGTTCTCCAGGATTTTGCATAAAAGAGGTCTTTCTCCGTTCCTGTCCTTTTACTTTGAAAACGCACGAGCGACTCTTGAACTAACGCGGCGAGACCTGTGATGGTTACTCATTAATGTGAATAGTCCGGAGTCTTAACCACTGAGAATTTGTCTCTGCCTGATTGTACTGCGTCGGTTGTAGCGAATTATTATTTTCCCAAAGGAAATGAGTAAAACAACCAAGAACTATTTTATGTTTTTCGGATTTTGTAACCTTCGTTGGGATACATCCTGTGCCTTGTGCACGTTTCAACCCCTGTACTTTTGGACAGGGGCCCGTGTCTGATAGTCCTCGTGTGATGTTGATGCGTGCGGCCAGTATTGCTTACCAAAAGTTTCTTCAAACTCAATCGGCTGGTTGATGCGCTGACGTTCTCTGCCCTACTAGGTTTTCTTCCCTCTGCAAAAAGTAAGTCGTTCGTGTGTGTGTACATGAAGTGAGTTTTACTTGTGCTCAGCAAATGATTTCCTTGTGCTCAGCAGATTAACCAACTTTTGGAAGCCTAGTTTGGAATGTGTAGATTTTACAAGATCTCTATTAGAAGTTGATTGTCCTGCCAAGTTAGTCTCACAGCGGCATTCAAAAGGTGCCCAATGAAATTTCACGCGCCTTCACCTCATTGTGGTGAGATGCAGAATAAGAAAATACCGTCCCCATCAGCGGAGATGTGCGCAGTTCGTGCAAAACAACGTCAGGATAGCCAACTGCCTAGATAATCCATAGACCCCCAGCCAGCCAAAGATTAACATAACAACCCACGGATGGAGCTGAAAACGGCATGGGGCATCTTCTATCTTTTAATCATGTAGCGTACACGAATGAAATCTGAGTTGCAATTGAAAACGGGAGGACTCGCGACAAGAGCAAATATCAATATACTTGTCGAGATGAAAGGGAGTGGCTAGCCAATGATCAGCCTACAGATTCCGGGGCTGTCAATGATGAACGAATATCATTACATTAGCATAATGTGAAAGAACAAGTGATCAACTCAATTTGGACTTCGCTTTCAGGGAAAAATAATACTCCCTCCGTTTCAAAATGTAGTGCTTCCTCTATTCCCGTGCTTCAACTTTGACCATAAATTTAACCAACAAGACCGACTGCGGCGGGAGCAAAAATTATACCAGCGAATTCGTATTCAAAAGAAGTTTTCAATTATATAATTTTTTCTCCCGCCGCAGTCGGCCTCGTTGGTTAAATTTATGGTCAAAGTTGGACATCGAGAAGCGCGGGCGCACTATATTTTGGAATGGAGTGAGTAATGGCAAATGCCGCTGTAGATGGTGATGCAGCTGTCCATGGTCTTTGGCATTGCAACAGTGGGTACCAGCTTCAAACCCTGATTGACGGCCATGCATCCTTGCTTTTCTCAAAAGGGTACATGTGGACTTGTGACAGGGCAAAACGTCGGATCAAAGTACATTCCCTGTGCTTGGCTTGGAATCCATGAGGAATCTGCCACGGCCAACTTGCTCAGACAAGAGTAAACCTGGATGGCGCCTCTCCCAGACGATCCACTGCGTCGCCGTCGGAACGGAATAGAATGTGCGATAACTGATAAAGCTAGAAAGCTTCAGATGGCGCCTCTCCCTATTCCACTCTTACACTCCCCCAAAATATTTGGTTCAAAAGTTTGCCTCTTGAATCCTACTCTACAAAATTTCAAACCCAGCCTCCTCTGCGTGCGTACGTGCACCGAACGTTCTTAACGGCATCAATTGGTGCACACAGCCTTGTGTCATTGCAAAGTATCAGGAGGCGGTGCTCAAGTTACATGAGAAACTACTACTCCATCCGTTCCTAAATATAATTCTTTCTAGAGATTCTAATATCCGTATCTAGTCCATATTCAAATCTCTAAAAGGACTTATATGTTGGAATGGAGGGAGTAGTAGCGAACAGCAAGCAGATAGTGCACTGATCACAGCCATGTCAAGTGCCAAACATTTCTGCATCATTAGCAGTACCAGCTCCTGTTCACAGGAAAAATGCAGGGAGCTCTCTTTCAGAAAAAGAAGGGGAAAATGAACCAGAGACAGTGCATTTTATCAGTACCATCGCCCCGTCTGATTGTCCGAATGCTAACCTGAATGGCACCTTTCCCAGATGATCCATTACATCGCCGTCGGAAAGAAATAATGGCGTCTCTGAATGGCGTCGCAAAAAGGAAAAATGTAGTGAAGCTAGAAAGATTCAGATGCTATTCCGTTGTTATATTTCCCAACAAGAAAAAGAAAAGGGAGAGGTTGAAAAGTGCGCCTCTTGAATTCTACTCCACAAAATATTAAGCCCGGCATTTGCACACTTAGGCCGTGTTCGGCAGCCCTCCGCTCCGCGGCTCTGCTCCTGGAGCGGCCGGAGCGGAGCGGCCTGCAGTGCATTTTCCTAGAGTTGGAAAACTGGCGCTCCGTCCGCTCCCCGTATTATACGGAGCTGGAGAGCTGCCGAACAGGGCCTTATTCCGAGCATTCTTAATCCCATTGGGTACATCATTATCTGTACCAGGAGATACGAAAGCAGACAACGTACAAAAACAGCACTCCGTTTTGCTTGAGGCTTATATCATCAGGTTATATCTTGTTATGTGTGGAACAACTTTTCTGAATTGATGCTCAAGTTAACTAAGATGAATCGATGCACAAGTTAACGTAGAAATTGATATCGAACAGCGAGAAAGAACCGAAGACGGTGCATTTTTTTTATCAGTATCATGGTCCCATCCGATTGCCTGAATACTCACGAATCCAAACCAGAGATTCAGAGATCAAGCGCATATTGGCACTACAATTTTGTACCAGAACACATCCTCCTGAGCATAACTATTAACCTCCTTCTATTGCTATTATATGAGTAAGCATAGTATCAAGACACAAGAACATCATATCAGTTGTACTCACTGATTGCCCTTTCGTTCCATGAGAGTGTATTTTCACCAAAAATGTAAAACAACTCCCATGCAAGAACTGCCGAAACAAAACCCCAAATAATCATTGAGCTGAGCACATTCATTCAGCTAGGGAAGCAGAGCTCAACGACATCCCTGGAACGCGCCGGTTGTTCCGGAGCATCGGTATCCCGCAACGCGCCGCCATTGCCATCGCCATTGCCATCTTCGTCGAACCTGCAATCTGCAGCTGCCGGTCCGGAGCTGTCCTCCCAACAGGCGCCACCGACCTCAGAGTTGCCATTGTTGAAGCAGAGGGTCGGGTCGGTGCACGCCACGGAGCCGACGCTGCACTGCTTCTGGAACGGGAACGCGCCGGCGGCCTCCGCGTCGATCTTGGCCCGGACGTCGAAGAGGAGGCCCCTCAGCCGCACCACCTCGGCCTCGAGCGTGGCGTGGCCCTGCAGCCTGCGCTGGAGCTGCTGGTTGGCGGCGCGCAGCTTCTTGACCTCCTCCTCCAGGTACGCGGCGTGCGCCTTCTTCTTCTCCCGGTACTTGCGCACGGCCTCCCGGTTCCCCAGCGGCCGGCGGGGCCTGGCCGCGTCGTCGTCCTCGCTGCCGGCGGCGAAGAGCTGGTGGGTGTGGGTGTGCAGGCAGGTGTGGGTGTGCGTGGCGGCCGACGGGCCGGGAGGGTTGCAGGTGTGCGTGTGGGTGCAGGTCGCGGCGGCGGCGTCGCCCAGGAGGTCGCCGAAGGTGCCGGGCATCTCCGGGTGGAAGAAGAGGAATTGGCTCGGGAGGTCCACCCCGTCATCCATTGGTGCCAGAATTATGCCAAGAACAACCACTTTGTGTGCAGTCAATGGGCAAGTTGCACAACAGAGTCGCCCGGGAAAAGAAACTGGAATCAAGAACAGAGTATGTCGGATGGCAGCAGCAGCAGCAGCAGTCTCCGGCGAAAATGGCGAGCTGCCCTGAAATCGGAGGAACACAGCTAGGTAACCACTGGAGGTTGGAGTGCGAGATTGAAGAGGCGGAAGGACGGCAGAAGCGAGCGAAGCCTCTATAACAACGGAAAGTTCAGGTGGAAGCTGGAAACCCCACGAGGGATATAGCAAGAAGAAGAACCAAATTAGAAAAGCAGGAAGAATCCAGCATCAAAATCCCATCTCGGGGAGCGATATGGAAATGGAATCGATCAATCGATGGACTGGCCTCTCCGCTCCGCTCACGGCACCGAGCTGCCCCTTGCAGGGTCCCTTTTCGCCGGCCTTTCGCTCTCTCGTCTCGCCGCCGATCTTTTCGGCGATGTTCGTCCTCCTTTTCTTTCTCGGCGATGGTGGGGAGAATCTTGGAAAGAGGGGCGGGGGAGATGG